CCAAACATCCTCATCTTAGCTGTCCTGGCTGTGATTTCACTCTCGGCCAATGTGCATGTTGCAGCTTGCCGTTTGAACCTCTACAATATTTATACTGGCCTCAAATGAGACCCAATGAGTTGCTGTTACTAGGTTTCTTTATTCATGGAGTTGTGCAGTGCTATGTAGCAACACTGAAGTCAAGAGGATTTGATCTTCAGAATTGGAACTGTCTGGGTTTATTGACAATTATTGTCCTGTGTCTAAAGAGTAAAAGCTTAAACAATCCAGTGTTCTGCTTGCTGTGGGGGGAGCAGCTCTCTCCTCAGTTTTCTCATGACCGGTTTTGTCCATGGTTGAATTGCAGCCTGAACAGCATTTTGGCTGCTTTTCCCTTTTTCACACACCCACTGTGCTCCCTGATCACACTGTCCCTTTTCACAGTACAGCACGTTTGTCTCCTGCCTTATCTAGCACTGCTTCACCATCTCCAGCAGTAAACTATAGTTCAGGTGGGTAGCTGCGTCAGCATGTGTAAGCTGCAAAGGAACAAGTAATAGGTTTATTCCATGCTGGGAAAAGAAAACAACGTTTCAGCTGGGAACCTTCTTCAGGTGTGAGCAACACGGGTGTGGCTCACTGGAAGAATGCTCCATGACCAAAACATTTTCTTTCTTTTATTCAGCATGGAATAAACTTGTTACTTGTAAAATATTATAGGTTTGTGTTAAAAGCAATAAATGGAGAATGTTAAATAGATGTTAATTAACTTATTAATTCAGATACTAGATCCTGCAACTTGCAAGGTAATACAGTATGAAAATTAGTACCATTAGCATAAAATAAGAAAGTGATGCATGAGGTTCTAAGACTATCTATTGGCTTGACAATAGGACCTCACAGGCTGTAACTCAGCCATGGACAAAGCATGACATCATGAGAGAACACACAGAGGTCAGACCTGCTCCCTCCACAGCAAACAGAACACTGGATTGTCTAAGTTTTGAAACTTTAGAGATGGGGCAATAATTCTAGATAAACCCAGACAAACAGCCCCAGTTCTGAAGATTAACTCCCCTTGACTTTAACAAGATTGCTACATAGTACTGCACATCTGCTGACAGATGTGGGGACAATGTTGCACATCCTTTACAGCTTTCCAGCACTCAAATCCTGAAACTGAGGGTTCTCCTGGTCATTTCCAGCAGAAATCATAGCTTTAGGAAGCAAAATGTTTAAAAAATGTGGCCCTCCACACAATAGTATAGTTTGGAATAAATCCAATGTACAGTAATAACCTCATTTCTGTTCTTCAGCCACAGAGTTGTAAAGAAATGTAATTACAGGAATTTGTCAGGTTATTTAGCTCAGGACCTCCTCATGCTTAAGTCCTCTCCTTGTTTCAGCAGTGAATGGCATTTAACCTTTCTCTGCAAGAGCAATCAAGATCTGGACAAAACTGATCTAGTGGAACTGACCAGACCCTGGATTGACCAGATGAGAAGATCCAGCAGTGTTCTAAAGAACTGTTTCTCATGTCTGGTTTCTCAGAGCTCTTCCTTAAACCTCTGGAGAAAACATTGTAGCATACCACATTCAACTGGATTACTTTCCAAACACTTACAGTGCAGTACGTAATGATGGAGCCTGCTAATGGCTTTTACATGCTGAACTGTAATCATCACGCCTGCTTGATCACAAAGGCTTTTCCTCCCCCTGTACTTACCCCCAAATGGTGAATGTTTACCTAAATGGTAAATGTTTACACCAAACTCCTGATGACAAAGGAAGGTTTCTATTTCCTTCAGTTACATCAAAGACAG